TGCCTCACTCAAAATACATTGGCGGAATAGGGCGTGCTCGGTCTCTATTTGTCTCTGAATTTTTTGGACCTCCCTGTTACCCTGCTAGCCTAAAAAGATTTTTTTCCTTTGCAGTAACTCTCTTTTCTGATGAGAAATATATTGAATTTTTTTTTTCATGTACGCACATCAGTAACTGTGAAAATACCTGTTTTATTACAGGTAACCTATATTGGTGAAATTGTGCCAACGCACGGCTTTTCTAGTCTTAAATTCATTCCTGACACTGGTGACATGGTGATGGTTGCTTTGAAATCAGAAGAAGACAAGGGTGTAACAGCCACCTATGTGATTATATTTACAATATCCGGTGATATTCTCTTGCCTGAAACTAAAGTCGCTGACCTCAAATATGAGGGAATTGAATTTATTTGAATGTGTTTTTCCCTTTTCCTAAATTAAATATTTGTTTTCTTTAACCAAAATGTTTACTCAAATTGAATTTTTTAGTTTTGTTCAAACCAAAGGAGGTAGTTCATTGGTAAATTACAAATTGTAAATTACAAAAGTAATAGATGAAAGATGAAGACAAATAACCACGATAAAATGAGATACACAGAACTATTTAAGTGGTCACCTGCAAGCCACACCGGATATCCCCGAGGGTAATCATCGGCTGCCGCCTTAACTTGATTTGTGTCCCGTCAAAACAATCGTAATTTAAAATTTCCGAATTTTGGAAATCGAGAAACAACTTTTAACACGGTATGCAAAGTACTTAAATCAAAAAAGGGCCTATATTCCATTTTAATTTTTTATGTCCAGCACATCAAAACTTGCCCCTCTTTTAAGGAGGCGGCGTCTCGATTCAGGACGGTATGAAACCGGATAAACACTAAGGGACCATCCATAAATTACGTTACCCATTTTTTTCAATTTTTCGATACCTCTCTCCCTCACTGTGTCCAACTACCTATTTCTGATTGGTTCCCGTATTTCATGCCGCAATCAGCCGCTGAATTTAGCAGCTGAATGTGGAAGTCAACAGTCATCGCCCAACGGCTGAAATTTAGCAAATTCCAGTTATTTTCATCCAGATGTGTATTAAATCTACTCAAATAGTTCAGACAAATTCAAAATTGGTCCGATGGTTGCTGAGAATCGTTGCTGAATTTCGCGCGTCACGCGCAAAATTCAGGCATCGGGCCGATGACTTCCACATTCAAGCCACATTCAGCTCCCACATTCAGCGTGTGATTGCGGTGTTAGGCATCCACGGTGCCACAAACGGCAATATTTACGGCAATTATATATAGATTACATTTTCACCAATTGCAAAGATTATAATCTGGAATGGTGCGAGGAATTACGGGTTCGACAAGGAACAAAAATAATGAGACAAGGAACGGAGAAAGGAATTCAAAGATCAAAGATTACGACAAACGTTCAATTTGTGTAATCTTTATTCCCGTTTGTGACTCCATGAGGGGGTGTTGTCTTGACACTCAAGCCGGTATCAAACAAAGACATGAAGACGGAGCGCTAGAAGAAGAAAATGAAGCCACCTCTCCTATTAGTTAAAGCAGCAGAAAAACTAAGTTTATCTGAGATTCTTGTAAGATTCCTCCTTTTTACCAAGCCAAAATAGGTTTAATATAAAAAGTCACCAATCCAACCTCATTTATTGTTCGTTTCAGGCAAATAAAACGAGACTAGAAGAAGAAATCTGGAAAAACTATGAGAACAAATTCAAATCAAATTTCCTTTCCCGCGCATGGATTTACAGCAACTTTATCTTAGAGTCCCTTTATACTGAGAGTCAAGACAATGTGAATCCATTTCTGATTGATTCCCGTAGGTATTTTAGGCCTTCACTGTGTCACAAACGGGAATAAAGATTACATTTTCACCGATTACAAAGATTATAATCTGGAATCGACCAGGGAATTACGGATTCGGCAAGGAACAATCGGAATGAGAGAAGGAACGGAGGAAGGAATTTAAGAATGGGCCGATCAAAGATTACAAAGAACGTTCAATTTCTGTAACCTTTATTCCCGTTTGTGACTCCATGAGGGGTGTTGTCTTGACTCTCAGTATAAAGGGACTCTATGGTAGACGATCGAAATTCTCTCCAAAGCAAAGAATGGTGGTCGCATTTCGTATACCCTGTGGAGTTCTACCGTGATAGCGAAGAGAGCCGTAAGTGCAAAAATGAAGTTCTGAGAACGGGCTCAGAAGCTTCTGAGTGGAACATTTTATTGAAAGAAGCCTCCGCTCTTTGTCAAATTCCCCTTATTCGTCCGGAAGACTCCTAGAAATCATTAGGGGGATTAAAACTCGACCGATTTCATTTAAAGGTACATGAAAAAGGTAAAATTCAGTTTCGTGGTAGGTTATTGTTAGACAAAGATAGCCGTAACTGCTACTATGATCTGCTTGCTGTCGTGGTTGCGTTTTGGACGCACAACAAACACATTTTCCGGTCAGAAATTGGCAGAAGAAGGCGGCACTTTACTGGAAACACTGGTTAGTCCAGACATAGAGTACAACTAGCCGATGTGGCTCGCTTCGCTCGCCTCGCGTCTAGCCGGGGGCTCCGCCCCCTGGACCCCCGTCACTCGATTTCAGCGTAAAATCGGGTTTTTTGTGCAAAATTGAGGTCTTAACCATGAAAGCAAAAGAACATAAGAAAATTGACCTTTGGTACCTTTTAAACTTAAAATTTAGATGTGAAGTACTCTATCAAAAGCCACCCTACATGAATAGAAAAAACTTCGTATATCCATCCGACCTACTTTTTCAGAAGAGATAAAACACTGTATACCTAATCACGAAGGGAAGCGTAGCCGAGAAAGGAATTTATTTTTTCTTTACGCTTTCGTGTCTCACAAAATGGGCCCAAGAAGGGTCTGTGTTCTAACCGACCCCTCCCCCCCCCCTCCACCAATGTTGCTTCGAGTGGATCTTCTTAGTTTTTTGCATTACTCACTTGATCTTGGAGGTTTAACAGAACTAGCGGATTGTTAAGTATCATTTTTTGATGAACCTCTCTCTAATCACATATTTTATTTGCATTTTAGTGCCGGAAATCATTGTAATTCCTAAAAATGTGCATCTCAACGTTGCACGGTAGTGCTAAAACTTCAACTGTAGTGAGGTACCGAGCATAATCAAATCCGAAATATACTGAGTCCAAAATGATAGGTCCAGTTTCGTCAGAAAGTTGCACATATGTGCGTGAAGGAACGAGCCCATCGGGTAAATTTCTTTAAACACAAATTTCAGCCAGAAATATTAATCATTAGAATGATTGTAACTTCCTTGCAAATTCTCCGTAAAAATTTTAACTCAGACTACGATCTGAAAGCGTTTCATCAGGCAGGAAAACTCGTAATTCCGTTTGGAAATTGTATGAGCCTCGCGCCGCGGCATCGCATCGGGTACACTTCGGGTACATTTCAAATCGCGCGGTAAAAGCCCGTACCCTCTGCACGTCACACATCTTCAAGATGGCAGCCAAAATCGAAATGCGACCAATACTTTTATCCGCCTTGGTCCCTGTCATGGTCCGTTGGTAGCAAGACCTCGGTAGAGTTCCTTTATACAGGGTGATCCAAAAGTCCCTTCCACCCCCTCTAACTTTTTACCTAATTGAGGTA